AGATGTGCAGCAGTTTGGGACACAGATGTGCAGCAGTTTGGGACACAGAGATGTTGTGCAGCAGTTTGGGACACAGGCAGATGTGTCCATCTGTCCTGAGCCATGGCAGCAGTTTGTGACACAGACAGATGTGCAGCAGTTTGGGACACAGACAGATGTGCAGCAGTTTGGTGCACAGACAGATGTGCAGCAGTTTGGGACACAGATGTGCAGAGTTTGGGACACAGACAGATGTTGTGTCCGTCTGTCCCAAGCCATGGCTGAGGTGAGCAGCAGTTTCTCCCCTGAGTTTTGTGGCAGAGCCACCCTGCCCTGCAGTTCAGAACCAGGGAGTCTCTGAAGGTGGAAAAGCCTCAAGAGCCTCGAGTTCAGCCATTCCCCCAGCACTGCCAGGGCAGCACTAAACCCTGTCCCCATTTAAAGACATCTCCATGTCTTTAAATCCCTCCAGCTGATTCCACCCTTCTCAGGGCAACTTGAACCCCTGTCTAACCTTTTCCATGAAGAATTTTTTCCTAATATCCAATCTAAACCTCCTCCAGTGCAACTTGAGGCTGATTCCTCCTGTCCTATCTCTTGCTGCTTGGGAGGGAAGACCAACTCCCACCTCTCTCATTTTGGGTAGTTTTTCCAGCACTGTTCTGGGAAAGGAATGAATGAGATCACTGATCCATATCAAAGAGACACATATTTGCTAGAGATAGGGCAAGTGATAATATAGCTGAGCCTAAGGATGTACGTGGCACTGGGTATGTTTTAGCACCAATATAATTTTTAAAAAACAGTCTAAAAAAGTCTAAAATCTGTAGAAGTTTTGAGATGTTAATAAGTATTTATAGCTAGCCAGCTTGTTAAGAAAATATTTTAGTTGAGCTTCAAATATTAAGCTATAAGGAAGTGAAATCTTGTACTAGAGAGTACAAATCTCATAAAGAATTTGAGTTCAACACTACTGCATAAACAAACCTGATGACTAATTTGATGAAGTAATTGGTAATACAAAGCTACATAATGACAGGCTTGGCAAGCAGATGTTTTTTACTCTGGGTGAAGTAAATGTCAGCTATGCATGGGCAATGCCTTCTGCAGCACTCCAGGCCCTGTTGTATAATTGCTTACACAGAAAATGACTTAATAGCAATCCTTGTCTTATTTCTTATTTCTTATTTCTTTCTTTGCACTTTCTGAAGGCAACAAAGCAAGAGCAGCCCTGCAGCCCTTCCCTGGGTCGTAGAGGATCCCTGCCCCATCCTTGGCTTTTGCAGCATTGCAAAATTTCCTCACAGAACGTTGTGTGCACTTCCTTCCTCCTTGTTTTTTAAATTTTGCTGGAGGTTTACTTATTTGGGTTTGTTTTCTTTTAAAATTTCTTTTGAGACAGTCTCCACCCTCCTGTCTCTGAAATATTTCTGATGTGGAAACGCTGTCAGCAAACCCCAAGAACGGAACATCTTTTCCCAGGTGGCAGGAAGCACGTGTGAAAGTGCAGCTGTAGAGGGAGGATGGGGCTGTTTGTGCATTTTGCTGTTGTGGGAGCCTGCTCTTGTCAGAAACCTCCACAAACATCCCTCAGGAGCCCTGGCTGCTGCAGCTCACCTGCAACCCAAGGCTTTTTCTAAGAAGCTGTGGGTAAAGGAGCTGTGAATTTAGCCATACCTTGTAAAAAATAAAAGTTTAGATGTCACCAGAATCTCATTCCAGCAGCTTTCATGGTGTGCAGGGAAGAAAAGTGCTGGTGCAAAGCCCTGGTTTCTGTTTGGAGGTGAGGTTTGCTTCCATCTGGATTGTTTTTCAGGCAGAGCTGGCTATTGCCTTTGGACTAAAGATGTTGGTTCTTTCAGCATGTGTACAGAGTTTTATAGCAGCAGCAAGGTACTGTGTGAGCTTGGAGTTCCCTTTTTATTAGATTTGCAAATTTCCTGCCTGGAATTAATGTGCTTGTACATGCAAAGAGAACTGAATAAACTTAACAAAGAATTATGAGCAGAACATTGCAGAACAGAACAGAGATCATCCAGCCAAAACAAGTAAGTTAAAACATCAGAAAGGGAAATATATATATATCACAAAACTAGTAAGTTTGTGAACCCTAACCCTAACCCAAACCCTAACCCTAACCCAAATATATATCACAAAACAAGTAAGTTAAAACATCAGAAAGGGAAATATATATATCACAAAACTAGTAAGTTAAAATATCAGAAAGGGAAATATATATCACAAAACAAGTAAGTTAAAACATCAGAAAGGGAAATATATATCACAAAACAAGTAAGTTAAAATATCATAAATGGAAATATGTATCACTTGGTGCTGTGACAATATTCTGCCTCAAGCCAGCAGGTGGAAGGGAATAAACTAAACTGAGCTCTCATTCACAAGGTCAGTTCTTTAACTTGGGATGGATTTCTGTAGTAAAAACTTTGTTCTGTCACGGGCTTCCAAGGAAATTTGTGTGTTCCAGCAGTTCTAGGAATTATTATAAATAGTTATTCCCAGTCCCAGTTCCTCATCCCTAGAGGTCCTGCAGTCTGGAGGAGCATCTGCTGCAGTGGATTCTGCAGAAGGTTTGCCAGAAATCACATGGGCTGACAGTTATGTCTGGTGATGGATTAAATCAAGGCTTCTGTTTTGTCTGCAAAAAGGTTTTACTTCTACAGGCAGGTTACTCAATCCTGGATTTTCACACTCCTACTCAAAAAGGCTGTGGGGGCAAGTCTGCTGTTTATTTCAAGTACATGGTGTTTGATTGTGAGAGAATTGTTTTTCTGGAGGACAAAAAAGAGAAAAGGAAAGGATCTCCTTTCTCTGCATATTTAAGGTAGCTTTAAATTTATTCTGGTTGTGAAAGAGAATTTTAACATAGTGAATGCTTTTCAATTGACTGCAGATTGCAAAGAACATGTCAGCAGGTGAAAGGAACTTTTGGGTACCAATTTAATAAAAGTAGCAGCTCCCAAATCCCCCAGAGATGAAATATTTTTGAATGGTATGTCTGTCCTCCAAATCATCTCCCAACAATGGAAAAAAAAAAGAAAAAAGAAGATGAAACTGAAAACTGGGGTTACTAATGCATTTCTCTTGGGATAAATTCAAACATCACTACATGAAAAGTATTCCAGACAAATATTTTCAGGAATTGCTGTAAGAGTGCAGGATAGAGTGCTCTGTTAGCTTAATCACTCAGTTTACTCACAGGTGTAATTTTAACTTTTTTCTGGTTCCTGATCTCTGATAAAAGTTAAACTTTCCCCCCTGCTCCCCCACAATAACATATTTAATGAAAAAATGTTTAAAATGGAACACATATTCCAGGACTGACTATTATCAGTCATATATCTATTTTTCAGCCTTTTTCAAGCCTCTCTGGGTGTACTCTGAGGTGTATCTGAGGAGTATCTGCCCCTCTGTGCAGTCACCCATCAGGTCCATGAGGAGCAGCAGTGGCTGGCTGTGTGTGGGCACCTGCAGCAGATCAGGAGCAAATCAATTCTGCCTCTTGCTTTGCACAGGCTGCTGAAGGATTTTCTGTCAACTTGGATCAGCTCATGGAGTCACCACCAGCTGAATTTTACTGATGAAACTGATGTGGGATAATGCTTGTGGAATCATCAAGCAGTATTAAAATAATGGTAAGAGAAAGAAAAATATTTCCAGGATGAATTCCCTGTGCAGCCAGAAGTTCCTGACCTGGCCTCTGTCAGTGCTGATGCTCTGATGGATTTTGCTGCAGAGCTTGAGGCAGTTTTCCAGCTGCATCTGGAAATGCTGGAGTTGAGCAAATGCTGGTCCATTGCCAGTGAAGGGCAGTGTGGGACAGTGACAGGGTGTGATGTGTGCTGCTGAATGAGGAACTTGCTCATCCAGCAGCTCAAAATGTCCTTGAGGAGCTGGATCAGTCCCACACTACTGGGACCATGATCACATTGTAATCACCAACTGATCTCACATCTCTGAAAGGAATTTCTCTAGTTTGTCTGAAAGAATTTCTAGGTGTGCTGTGTGAAACACAAGTCAAGACAGATTTCAGTGCTCTGTCCAGTGTTGCACTGTACCAGTGAGGAAGCAGAAAACCAAATAGTAATAATTAGCTCCTGCTGTAGTAAAAGTAGAATTTCCAGGGTGAAAACCTCAGTGATATTCTGTCATTATCAGCCTTCTGGTTCCTTTAGTTGCTTTTCCAGGCTTAATT